CAATATTTCCTAATGTCATTTGTACTAAATCATTCACTAGTACTCACTAAAGGAGAGCTTGAACCTATGTACTTGTGGAAACCCTTCACAATTAATGACCGTGGACGTAGCCAATCTAGGTGAACCACGTACATCTTGTGTTTGCTTCCCTGTCTCTATCCATTTACATACTTATCCACACTAGTGACCAGAGCAATCTAGCGAAGGTCACAAACTTAACATTTTCTGTTGTACCTCCTTGTTGATTTTGTGCATCAACAAGTTTCATCCATCGAATGAGTTAGGGAGCCATAGGCCATGAGAAACCAGGATGGCCAATGCCTGCTGTCTCGAAAGTATGAACCGACATCATCTCGAATCCAGAAACGACGTCTGAAATCCTCTTCTGTGTACACCGAGTTGAGGTTGAAGTAGTTGTTCATCATATTGGCATGCGTCATCGCTATGTTTCGTGATTTGTAAAAGCGACCATCAACAGAGCCACCCCATTGAGGTTGTTCCTCAGTTAGCTGACACACCATGGCCGCAGCCATGGCTGTCACATATTGTTTGTTGTACCATGCTTCATCTTCTTCATCAGACTCCTCATATTCTCATCTCATCTGCGCCTATTTTTCTTCCAATTTGGAATTGGATAAGGACCCCTAGTTGGAATCTGAAGAAGATCCAAAGTTGGAATTCATTGTAAACTTGAATTGAAAGAGATTGAATTGAAATAGATTGAATTCAAATGTGTGTAAATTATAGCCTAATATCCACCTTATTTGTAGCCCAAAAAAATTCAAATTTTAGGTCAGTTTTGTTGATTTTGAATTGCAGTTGTTTTGGACCTATCTATGACCAGATGTTCCATAAAAACCAGAGAGCCCTCTGGCCAGCCTTCGGTTGGAGATGGCCTTAATAACCGAAACGGTTAAATATAGCTATGTCCAGAATTATAGTATTGTAATAAATTATTTTTAAATAAATAGTGATAAGCTATATTCATATACCATCTCTAATAAAATGGATATAGCTTCCTCAATAATTTATTATTTTTAAGTTTATATTTTAAATTTATTGGTTAGTTTAATTAAATTACAGTTGGTTGTTTTCAAATCTAGCCGTCATTGTTCTAAAAATTCATGTCTAGCTTAGGTGGCTGGTCCTCGCCCCTGATTAATGCCTAGGTGTTTGAAAATTAAGAAAGGGCGCATTGACCTACTTAGGCGTCTGCCTTGCTCGCTTAGGCACCCGTCTAGGGTGTGACTCGTACTTAGGCAGAAAATTGATTACTTTCATTTTGCATTTTATTTTGTTAAATAAAATGTAAAAGACTTGTTGAATACTTAGAAGAATAATCATTATATACTTGTTCCCCATGTTTTTATTATATAACTCTATACAATTATGTATGTTTTAAGTATAAATAGACACTTATTTAAACAATATATTAATAAATTCACTTAAATCCGCTTAGTCCGCCTAAGCGATATGCTCTAGCCTACCGCTTGACTAGCGCCTAGCATCCTTTATAACCTGGCTATCTATTGAATTCGAATTAATTATTCCAACTGAGGAGCTTGGCTGCAAAAAAGAGCTGTGAGGGGGCTACATTTGACTAGTCGCCCTGATACCCCTTTGGCCAAATAATGGTCTGATGAACTCTGTAAAAATATAGCTCAGCCATCATGAGTTGGAGATGATTTTTTAGACCAATCCGACCTTCTTGCTTTTATATCTTTAGCCTTCTCCATTACAATGTACTTTATACAAAACAAGAAACTGGACGCATGTCCCTCACCATTCATTCATTCATACGTATATATCCAAGGTCGCTACACTACCTCAGCAAAATTAAGTGGTATATTTTTCATTTGATTACGTATTTGGTTTGATTTTCTTAAATAGTTGTATTTCATTTGGTTTTATTAAGTTTGTACACTCATTATCTCATATTCTTTCGTCGGCGAGAGAGAAATCAAACTAATAACTTCGGATGCAAACTAATAGCTCGTTTGAATGTGTTTTTAAAATAATTGAAAATGCTTTTGGCGAAAATGTTTTTTTTTTTTTTTTTGACAAAGTGGTGAAAATATTTTTAGAACTAATCTTTAGTAAAAATGCAAGTAAATTCTGAAAAAAAATACTTAAATGCTTCATGGAAGAAGAACATAACTGGTGCTTCTTGCAGAAAGCACTTCAAGTGCTTTTAGAACCCAAAAATATATTTTTTTTAAAAGCATTTTCAGTTATTTTAAAAGCACATCCAAACGAATACTAAATGATCATAACAACTTTAAACTACAAACTCATTCACCTCTACTCTCAAAAGCATGTATCAATTTCCTTGAAAAAAAAAGTTGCATAATAATTTTGACTTGTGTGAGTCCATTTTCAAATTGGAAATAAAATAAAATCTATGGTTACCTTATCTTTCTCTCTTGTTTTATTTTCCCCGAAAGAAAAGGCTAGAAGATCAGTTTAAGATTATCTTGTTAAGATCCTTCATATTCAAAGCAAAAAAAATAAATAGAAAAGATAAAGTCAAAGTTCCCAGAAGGATAAAGGATTAGGATTAGGAGGCATATTGCAAGGTACGTACAAGTGTACAACACATGAAGCATGTGCGCCCGATAAGTCACGAGTTTAGGTTTGCCACTCCCGTGACAAACATTATTATGTTTATGTAATAACACAATTTAAGATCCATATAATCAAAATTTTGAGAAGGATTCTCTACCGTTCGAATTATTCATTCTCTTTCTATTTAACCGGTCACGATTAAATTACTTTACGATATCATCAATATTAAAGGGATGGGGAATGAGCTAAGCCTCACAATAGACTAACAATAATATAGTTCAAATTCGTTTTTGGCGAGAATCAAATATAATACCTCTCACTTACAAGAAAAAATGAATAATACTAGACCGTAGTACTAAGTAGCTGATATTTTCTGAGTTCGAGAATATCAAAAACAATTAACACATATAAACTTTACCATCATTAGGTGAGAAACTTAGTTGCATCATTGGCCTGCGTGACGTGAGAGTTAAAAGAACCAACAAGATCGTCTTCAGATCATTTTGGTGAGGATTTTGGGAATCTGTAAATCATATTTGTTCATCGTACATCGTGCGGTCAGTTTTTGTCAGGTACTGTTTGTATTTAATTTTAGAGTAATGCTAGGAAGATTAAATTTTCAAATCAAATGATGTGTAACAAGTAAGAAATCGGCACGTTAATCGATACTTGATTAATAATTCAATAATCAATAACCACATTATTTGGTGTACACAATTTTGGTCTTCCTAGCATTACCTCTAATTTTAAATAAAAATATTTAAATGATTTCTAACCGCACAATGTATAATAAACATATATGATTCACGGATTTCCGGAATAATCACAAAGAGAAATCCGAATTCATAAAAGAATAAACCATAAGCTCTCAATGAAAAGATTCTAGTTAATTACTTGTCGTGTCATAAACTAAAAGATTTTTCAATGTCTCTATGATTCGATAAATTATTACATGTTGTTTTACGAATCCATGGGTGTTTTTCGAATCTATGGTACGAAGATTTAGAATAGTATTATTAAATTTTAATAAAATAAGTAGATTTGTTTACTAACAATTGGGTGGTAAGTCACAATGACATATGTGCCAATAACAACACTCCAAATTTTGCGTTCTTATTTTTGGCATTAGAGAAATTTGCAAAAGGTAGGGGGTCGGAAAGGAGATATTCCAAAAGGAGGAGTGCTTATACGAAAAGATGCTAATCTTTTATTGCCTTATCATGGTAAATATCAAAATATATTTGTTGGCCTTAATTGAATGTCCAATTGTCAAATAACAGCAGATCGTCCTATCACGGCACCACTCACTTATCTCATTGGTCCCTCTGATAAGTCCTCAGCTAACAACCCCATCTCCTCTCCCTTTTTATATAAAGAAAAAAAACAAGCTCAAAACTCCAAATCTCTCACTATAACCCACTATTGACGTTTACTCTTATCCATAAAAATGAGAGTATGAAAAATAACGACCGTACAAATTTTGATGATCGGAACCGTTCAGTTTCTCAATTTTTGTTGGAAGATCACTATTTGTAAAAAGATATTTTAATAAAAGATTATTTAGTCGTTCAGATGTATAAGATAAACCGACTATGTAGGTACCAAGTAATTGATGTGAACTGTTTGTTTATTTGATTCATTTGAATGATTAAATGATCTTCAATGCGAATGATTTTTTTGTAAGATTGATCTTCAGATATTGATTAATAAATTGATGGGATCAAATTGTTGATTTTATTCGACCAAGATGCATTCTCTACAAACGTACTTTTATGCTATATTCATATTTACATTTTTCATAATATCGTAGTGGATATGGTGGGTATTACCCTAGAATACCATCGTGGTAATAATCCAAACCAATCAAATTAGATCATATCCCTTAAAGTTGTGACATATTAATGTGCAATTGACCTAAAATATCGTCAAATTTACATCTTGTCGCATGGATTATTCTCGACAAGTAGGGTATCTAACTCCTGATAAATATATTTCACTCTCGACAAGTGGAGACAACTACCATTAGTTGAAACCAATGTTTACATTTTTTTCGATATAAATGAGAGAAATATATGGTCGATATCGGAGAAACTCTTAAGTTTATGCTAAAATTGATATATATTGTTGATATTTCTGATATAATTGTTAAATATCGAGAAACTCTTCTATTTTGTCAAAACTAATGTTTGACGATCCCTAAAGTTTCATTTTAAATTTCCAACATTTCCATCGAAAACAACCGATATCGATATTTGATATATTTATTAATATTTTCATAAATATACATATATATATATATATATATATTTCTACCGATACTGATATTTTAAACGCTGAAATCGAATCAATGGCATTAAATTTCATAAAAAGAAAAAAGAAATAAAAAAAACAAAGGAAGGCACGTGGCCTCCTATATATAGGACCCTTCCTCTTCCTCCCTCACTTCCTTCATGAGCTGGCTCTCTCCGTTTCTTCTCTTCCGCCTCGGATCACTCCCTCAGTCCCCCCTGTATCGCTCGCTCCCCCTCTCAGGGATTCAGTCAAACACCCGCCCCATGTCGAATCCCAAGATTTCAGCAACCGTTAAGAAAATATATTTTTGAATTCTCAGCAACCGTTCGATCATTTTTCTCGAACTTTCTCGTCGTTTCTCGCGGTGGTTTGTTGCGGGGAGGAGAGAGAGAAAGAGGGAGAGTGGCGGCGCGCATTTCAGCACTTGCTGTATGTCAGTAGACTGTATAGAGACCTACTTAGGTGGAATTGGTGAGCTCGCGAACCCCTTGCAATGGCCTCAGCTTCGAAAAAAACGACGCCTTCCTGTTGCTTCCGCCCCGATTCGGCGGCTCTCGTTCCGCGCGAGGCGGCGCCGGCGGCGCAGACTTCTTCCAACGCCGTTGTATCGGCCTCCGCCGTGCAAGATTGGACTGGCGTCACCGGCGCCGAGGATCGGCGCGATGATCAGCGCCCCAAGAAGATCGCAATGGCGGCCTTGATTCCTGAACCTTCTGCCAATGCCTCCACTACAGGTCTATTAACATTTCTTAATTTTATTTAATTTTTTGTAAAATATTGATATATATAATATATATACGTACGTATTTTTGTAAATAATGATTCTTTGAATACTGTATTGCCGATGAGATTTGAAAAAAAATTGAAATTTCTTGAATTCTTGATTTGTGTTTGCATAAAATGCAGGTTTCTGCTTGGTTCTCTTGTATTTTTGTTTAATTTTCGATACGTCCTTTTCGTTTCTAAATTTGGTGGGACTCGTCCTTGTGTCACTCTTGTGATTAGTTTGTCTTTGTGTGCTGCTTGGAACTAAGAATTCTGGAGGTAGAACCAAAACAGAAAGAGTAGAAGTTAAACAAAAAGACGGGGAGAGAAAGCCGAATAAAAGATGGATTATGACACCCGAATCTAATTCGGAGAACAAGCTAGTTTGTTTCTTTAACTTTTTCTTGAGTAGGTCGATGTTAAGCGAATTTGATCATAAGGCAATGTTTTAGAATAAGTAAATATATAATTAGGAACTTGTTTAAAGATTGTCAGTTTTTTCGATAGCGGGATATTTCTTGATATAAGTTGCAGAACATAATCGTTAGGAAAACGAAGGAAATAATTCAGTCCATAAAAGTACCTGGAGTGGAGATGGTAGGACATTTTTTTATTTTCACAAGCTCCTCTTCGATTTTCTCTGAGCACAGCATTACTTTCATTTTCTCAAATGAATTTTTGTTATACAATTAAAATTAGGGAACTTTAACGAAAAGCTCCCGGTACTGTTTACTTTAACGAAAAACCACATTTTTACACTAAAAAGTCAATCCTGGTACTATTCACTTTACCCTTTATTTTGTTATTATCGTTAAAACTCAAAGTTTTCAAGCCATTTTCATTAATTTTCCTTTAAAATTAAGAATAACTTCGTTGAATTTCGAGTGCGAAGCTGAAAACTTTCACATCGTATTGCAATGTTCATGGTTTGTTTTCAGTGATTTTTGACGCTGAAAGTTTCTGTTTCACTTGGTTGGTTCAACTAATATCATGTAGGCATCTCAATCATGCTTAGGCCTCAAACAAGGCATCCATTGGACCCTTTATCTGCTGCTGAAATCTCTGTGGCAGTGGCAACTGTCAGGGCAGCTGGAGCGACACCCGAGGTTTGTTAATTTCACTGTTAATTTTTTCTATAACAAATAGAATTCTTATTTGGTTGAGATGGTTGGCTAAATAACACTATTTTCATTCCAGGTTAGAGATAGTATGCGTTTTGTTGAAGTGGTTCTACTGGAACCAGATAAGCACGTTGTTGCACTAGCGGATGCATACTTTTTTCCACCTTTCCAACCATCATTACTTCCCAGAACCAAAGGTGGACCTATAATCCCAACCAAGCTTCCCCCTCGGCGAGCTCGACTTGTTGTTTACAACAAGAAGTCAAATGAGACGAGCACATGGATTGTTGAGCTGTCCGAAGTACATGCAGCTACTCGAGGTGGACATCACAGAGGAAAAGTAATATCATCGGAAGTTGTTCCAGATGTTCAGCCTCCCATGGTACTTTTCTTTTGCGCGTTTATTTTTGACATTTGAACTTGTTTGTACCCTTGTATGACCTGTTGTTGCGATATATGCTAAGCTTCAGTTGTTGCATAGCTGTATGATGTTTCTGTAAATTCTTAACTTTTTATTTTCCGGAACTTCAGGATGCTGTGGAATATGCAGAATGTGAAGCAGTTGTGAAAGACTTTCCTCCATTTAGAGAAGCTATGAAGAAGAGAGGTATTGAAGACATGGACCTCGTGATGGTTGATGCCTGGTATGTAATTTACATTTAGTGCTCCTGTACATGTGGAATGTCAGCAGGTTAATCAATGACCGTCGACATAAGTTTTGGTGTTAACGCTGCAGGTGTGTTGGCTATCATAGTGAGGCTGATGCTCCTAGCCAAAGACTTGCTAAACCATTGATATTCTGTAGAACTGAGAGTGACTGCCCAATGGAAAATGGTTACGCACGCCCAGTTGAGGGCATCTATATTCTTGTTGATATGCAAAACATGGTGGTGATAAAGTTTGAAGACCGTAAGCTTGTTCCCCTACCTCCAGCTGATCCATTGAGGAACTATACTCCTGGAGAAACAAGAGGTGGTGTTGATCGAAGTGATGTGAAGCCTTTACAAATTATTCAGCCTGAAGGTCCAAGCTTTCGTGTTAATGGGTACTTTGTGGAGTGGCAGAAGGTATATTTTAAATTGATTTCGTAATTTGTATTTTTTCTTTAACTAAATTCTGATTGTAAACTAACATTCTGTTTGGCAGTGGAATTTTCGTATTGGATTCACTCCCAGGGAGGGACTGGTTATATATTCTGTGGCATATGTTGACGGCAATAGAGGTCGAAGGCCTGTAGCCCATAGGTTGAGTTTTGTGGAAATGGTGGTGCCATATGGAGATCCTAATGATCCACATTATAGAAAAAATGCTTTTGATGCCGGGGAAGATGGCCTTGGTAAAAATGCACATTCCCTAAAGAAGGTTTGAGGACAAATTATTGGCTCAGTTTTGGTATATGTTTTCTTAATAACTTGCATATCTCTTATTTATTTTATCCGTATTGGGCTGAAATTAAACTACCATGGCAGGGGTGTGATTGTTTGGGCTTAATCAAATACTTTGATGCACACTTTACAAATTTCACTGGAGGTGTTGAAACTATCGAAAATTGTGTATGTTTGCACGAAGAAGATCATGGAATTCTGTGGAAGCATCAGGACTGGAGAACAGGCTTAGCAGAAGTGCGCAGGTCAAGAAGGCTAACAGTGTCATTTATATGTACTGTGGCTAATTATGAGTACGGGTTCTTCTGGCACTTTTATCAGGCAAGTTTTACGTAACTTTCTCGCTTTTTTAAGATCAAGTGTAGTGCATGTTCTTTTCCGTTTAATGTTCTTTTCAGTTTAATGTTAACTTGCCCCGTATCCCTTTTGAACTGGAAGACTGAAGAAAAGTTAGGTTGGATAATTAGTTTCAATTCCCCTTATAATTATTTTATGGTTCTTTGTCATAGATACAACAATATGGCTTAGGATACTTAGAGAATTTGAATTATCTGCCAGCTGTATAATCAATAGTTCCAGTTCCGTCCCGAGGGTTTTCGTGTAGTTTTCACTTGCTTGTCTTTCACGAGCTACCTGTCTAATGGCGAAGTCAATGTTGTGCTGTTTGCAGGATGGAAAAATTGAAGCTGAAGTTAAACTTACAGGAGTTCTCAGCTTGGGGGCACTACAACCTGGAGAAGTTAGAAAATATGGAACTGTGATTGCACCTGGGCTATATGCACCAGTCCATCAACACTTTTTTGTTGCTCGTATGGATATGGCTGTTGATTGCAAGCCTGGGGAAACTTTCAATCAGGTATGCTGCCAAAAGTCTTAAAACTGTGATCATAAGAGTAGCCCATGGATGTTTGAGGACCACACCTACATCCACAAAATCACTAGTTAGAAAATAAAAGTGAATTTGTGTTTTTGTTTTTTTTTTCCCCCAAAAGAATTTGTGTTTTAGTTTAAAACGTCGTATGTTGCCCCGGTAATACCAGGGGATCCTTTACTCCCCCCACCCTCAAAATCATGTTTCTTCCCTAACTACGTATTGTAGGTTGTGGAGATGGATGTTAAGGTTGAGAAACCTGGAGAGAATAATGTCCACAGCAATGCATTTTATGCTGAGGAGACACTTCTCAGGACTGAATCAGAGGCAATGCGTGACTGTAATCCTTTGACGGCTCGCCATTGGATTGTAAGGCATCGTTACCATGATTTTGCAACTGGTCCTGCTTAATGATTTCCTTCCGTTGTTTACGATTAGAGTATGTGGTGCGATTCTTGTGTCTAATCATGCTCATGCTGATTTGAAATTTGTTTATGGTCCAGGTACGGAACACACGAACTGTTAATAGGACTGGACAGTTAACAGGCTACAAGCTTGTACCGGGTTCAAACTGTTTGCCATTAGCTGGTCCCGAGGCCAAGTTTTTGCGAAGAGCAGCTTTCCTGAAGCATAATCTATGGGTTACACAATATTCTCGTGATGAAATGTTTCCCGGAGGAGAGTTTCCAAATCAAAATCCACGTGCTGGTGAAGGATTGGCCACTTGGGTTAAGAAAAATCGATCTCTGGAAGAAACTGACATTGTTCTTTGGTTGGTTTCCGTCTTAGCTTCTCCATGTCCACGATCATATCTTTTGCCTTAGTAAGTTGGCAGATGTTAATAACCAGCCGTGATGATGATTGCAGGTATGTATTCGGAATCACACACGTACCACGGTTGGAAGACTGGCCTGTCATGCCGGTGGAGCGCATCGGATTTATGCTCATGGTACTCACGCGATAAATCTTGTTTACGCACCTTTTACGCTCGACGGTTTGTCGTTTTATTGTCTTGCATTGTGATCCCGCAGTTGTGGTTGATTTTTGTGGTTGCAGCCTCACGGATTCTTCAACGCCTCTCCGGCAGTGGATGTTCCACCAAGTGCATGTGAGTTGGAAGCCAAGGAAAATGATGTCAAAGACAGCGGAGTAGCCAAGCCCATTCAGAACGGGTTGCTAGCAAAGCTCTGAAAAAACATGTTTTCTTGTTTGCATTATCTTTTAGTATGATCGAGCTACACGCAAGGATTACTAAATCTTATCTTTCACAAATGAAACTGTGTTCTTTTGTTTTGGTGTGAATTACGGGTGCCCGTTGGTTTGGAAATTCCAATCCGGACCGAAAATTTCTGTTCCGGGTATGAATATTTCGATTTCCAAAATTTCCGAAAAATTTGGATTGTAATAGGAACGTGCTTATCTGATTCAAAATTTCTCAAAACTAAATACTACAAAATAAAATTATGCATAATCTTATTTTATCATGTTTATTGGGATATTGTTAGATAAGGACAAAATAAAGGATGAAGTGAATAGTATTGATTTTTTTAGTGTAAAAATGTGGGTTTTCGTTAAAATGAATAGTATCAAGAGTTTTTTGTTAAAGTTTTCTTATTTTTAGTATGATCGAGCTACACGGGTTTTAAGTTTTCTGTTCCGAGTCTGAATATTTCGATGCCCAAAATTTCTGAAAAATTTGGATTGTAATAGGAATGTGCTTATCCGATCCGAAATTTCTCAAAACTAAATACTACAAAATAAAATTATGCATAATCTTATTTTATCATGTTTATTGTGATATCGTTAGATATGTTTTTAATTTGTATTTTGTAGACTAATCATTCCGATAATCCAAAATTCTAAAATATTTTTGGATTGGCATTGAAATACTTGTTTCTGATTCGACCCGACTGAAAATCACCCCTAGGTGTGACTAGGATTTTGATTTCTCTTCCTGAATGAAACTGCATTCCATTAGTATTTTTGGTTCAGGACTTAAATCCGTAAATTATCTTTTAACATAAGTTGAGTGAACTTTTAGTTTTCATGTAATTAAATCCTTCATTTACTGTTGAGTAGAAACTTATTTTTGGATGTTGAGTTTTAATTCTAGCGATATCATAACCTACATGAAAATTTTAAATTTAAACTTTTGTACGACAGAAGAGAATAATGTTATATCAAATAGAACTTTAAACATATAATTTGTGATATATATTTGTATTATAAAAAAATATAAATTAGTAATATCACGTAGCTTTTCAAAAAATTTAGTCCAATTTTCTCCAATTTTAGAATTAAAATGTGCTCATTCCAAGTTTAGAAAAAGCTCTAACATATGTCTGATTTCATTCCCACCTTTCAATTTCCCGCCCTTTTCCACATTTAAGCTGCCACGGACGAACAAGGCAAATTGATGAATCGAAAAACCAATGACCCCAGAAAATCTCCTAACCCGTCCTCTCATCGCCGATAAATTAACGCTGGGTTGCCCACTCCTCGACCGCTGCCTCGGCGGCGGGGTCCCCTGCTGTTCAATAACGGAGCTCGTCGCCGAGAGCAGTTGCGGCAAGACTCAATTTTGCCTCCAACTCGCCCTCTCCGCTCAGCTCCCGCCATCCCACGGCGGCCTCTCCGCCTCCTCGCTTTACCTACACACCGAATTCCCTTTCCCGTTTCGCCGCCTCCACCAACTCTCCCAAGCATTTCAATCCTCACACGCTAACCTCGTAGCCATTAACCCCTGTGAAGATGTGTATGTTCATGCTGTGCACGACGCACATCAGATGCTTGATATAATGCCCAAGATAGAGTCTTTTATTGAGAGCGAGAAAACCCGGTTGCCTGTCAGGCTAATTGTGATTGATTCCATCGCGGCGCTGTTCCGGACTGAATTTAACAACACCCCTTTGGATCTTAAGCGGAGGTCGTCGCTGTTTTTCAAGATTGCCGGGAAGTTAAAGTCGTTGGCCAACAGGTTCCGATTAGCGGTGGTGGTGACGAACCAGGTGGTTGATTTTATGGGGGCAAGTGATGGGGTGAATGGGGTCAAAGTGGGCAACTTTGGCTCATTGGACTCGTCGGGAAGACGGGTTTGCCCTGCTCTGGGACTCGCTTGGGCGAATTGCGTGAATTCAAGGTTGTTCTTGTCGAGAAATGAGGTGGTTGTTGGCGAAGGGAATAGCAATGAGCTGGAGGATGGTTTTTGTAGGCAAACAAAGAGGCGACTTGATATTCTTTTTGCGCCTCATTTGCCCCAAGCATCGTGTGAATTTGTCATCACACGACAAGGAGTGTTTGGAGTTGAGTCAGTTGGCATATAGAACTGATTGAAGTGGCCCTGTGCTTGCTTATATTATTTTTAGTGTTTGATTTTGTATGTAGGCTTCCGCTAACAAAAGTGAAGACCGGATTACTACACCATTGGTTTTGGATTCACTTGTCATGAGATCAAATGATTCTGAGGCCAAGTTTTTGCGAAAGGAGGATTTCTTGAAACACGATCATTGGGTTACACTATACACACATGGTAAGATGTTTCCCCTTATTGGATTCACTCGCAGGGAGGGACTGGATATATATTATGTGGCATATGTTGATGGCAGTAAAGGGCGAAGGCCTGTAGGCTGTAGCGGTGGAAATGGTGGGTGCCATATGGAGATCCAAATGATTCACATCGCAGAAAAAATGATGCGGGGGAAGATGGCCTTGGTAATAATGCACCTATTGGATAAATAATTTAGATTCTCCCGTCATGAATATTTTATGATTCTCTGTCATTTGTACAACAGTATGGCTTTAGGATACTTTGAGGATTTGAATTATCTGCTAACTGTATGATGTGAACATTTTCTGCTCATTAAGCATCAGTTCCAGCTCCGTTTGAGAGTTTCCATGTAGTATTCACTTGCTTATCTTTCATGACCTACTTGTCTGTTTTATCACTCTTGTAATTAGCCTACTGGTGAAGCTAATGTTATGCTGTTTGCAGGACGGAAAGTTTGAAGCTGAAGTTAAACTAATACTTGGCTTGGGTTCACTGCAACTTGGAGAAGTTAAAAATATGTTGCTGTGATTGCACTTGGGCTGTGCGCACCAGTTCATTAACAATTTTTTTGTTGCTTGTATGAATATGGCTGTTGATTGCACTAGCTAATGTCTTACCATCAAGCGTTGTGCTTTTGGATTGATTGCTTTTGTTTTCTTGCTTTTGGACTGTAAGACATTGTTACCATTATTTTGCAGCTGGTCCTGCTTAATGATTTCCTTCTGTGTTTAGATATGTGGTGCGGTTCTTGTGTCTGGCCATGATCATGCTGATTAATTTGTTTGTGGTCCAGGTAAAGGAGAAAATGAACTGCTTATAGGACCTCCCTTTGAAAATGAATGGCCGAAGCTTATCTCGCCTAATCCTTCAACTATGATCGATTTCATAATTCTAGACTCTCCGTGAAGTGGAATTTTAATCATAAATTATATAATATCGACTCCTTTTAAAAATTACATTTAAGTATATTTTATATTTGTGAGATGTGTGTTTTCAATCACTAACAAAATTTTATTAGAAACTTATTGGGAAGCTCTTTTATTTTTTTTAACTGAACGATAGCATTAGCGTGTTAAATTGTTAGTTATTAAGATGGAGATGAATTAGTAGATTGAACTAGTGGCAAAGTGCATAGAAATGATTGTTTTTTGCCGCTATATTACAATGATAATGCTGCTAAATTTCTTTTACAACAAAAGGAAAAAAAAATAATTTGTTTGAGACTGCAAAAATATCATGCCGCGTCATATTTTGCGGCTAAAGTTTGGAAAAAGAATATAAGAAGAAAGCCTCAGAAATGTGGAATTATACATATTTCGTGTACTGTGGATATTAAAATATAATAAAAAAAGAATCTAAATCCTCTGATGCGCTAAATCACAACCATCCATTCCGCGTCGCCGATTATTCTTTTCTGAAATTCGAGCGTCGCGCCGGCACAGATTCTCAGAAACCCCAACAACCTCTGCGCCCGCCAGACCTCCTAGATTTTCGCTGCCCCATTCTTGTCTGAGCTCCGACAAGCCTTCCACTCCCCTCGTAGTTATGGCGGCGAACCCGGAAAATGACGAAAAGACCCTTCACGACGAACTCTCCCTCCCGATCCTCCTCGCCGATCGGGTCATCAAATCGGCCCAGGAGGCCGAGTCCTCCAAACTCGACTGCGCTGACCTCGCCAAGCAAGTCGACCGCCTCTCCCAGATGCTCCGATCCGCCGTCCGAATTGCCGCCACCACTCAGTCCCTCTATGAGCGGCCCGTCCGCCGAATCGTCGCCGACGTGGCGAAGAACCTTGAGCGGGCGTTGACCCTGGTCCGGAAATGCAAGCACAGTGGGGTCCTCCGGCAGGTGTTCTCCATCACCACCACTGCTGATTTCAGAAAAGTCTCGAACCTCCTGGAATCTTCGATTGGGGATATGAAGTGGCTTCTCTCGGTGTTTGAGTCCGACGGCGCTAACCTCTCACTGCCGCCGATCGCCAGCAACGACCCGATTCTGAGTTGGGTCTGGTCCTACATCGCCACTATTCAAATGGGTCAACTCAGGGACCGAGTCGACGCGGCAAACTCGCTGGTTTCACTTGCTCGGGACAACGACCGGAACAAGAAGATAATCGTCGACGAAGGAGGCGTGACACCGCTGCTAAAGCTTCTGAAAGAAGGGTCTTCTCCCGACGCCCAAATCGCCGCTGCTAATGCTCTGTTTCACATCGCCACTGATCAAGAAAGGGTCCGAATTATAATCGATTTGTTGGGAATTAACGTTGTTGTTTCGGTTTTGGGCGATTCGCCGATGAGGGTTCAGGTGTGCGTGGTGAGATTGGTGTCAGAAATGGCGGAGCTTGACCCGGTGGCGCAGGAGGAGTTCGGCAGAGAGAATGTGACTAGGCCGTTGGTGTCTCTGCTGGCAATGGATACGGTTCTGGATGATCCGAAGGTGCAACCAGGTAAGCCTAGCATTCATAATCTCGTGCAGATTAATAAGCAGTTAGCTGCAAATGGTTTGAATCCGAATAGCCGTTCGTCTTCCTTTTCGAATCATTATCATTCGGATGGTAGTAGTAGAGGTGGCGGTCATTATCGGAAAGAGAGGGAGAGAGAGGCCGAGTCCAATCCTGAGGTGAAGCTTGAGCTGAAAGCCGGTTGCGCAAAGGCATTGTGGAAATTGTGTAAAGGGTGTTTGTTGAATAGTCGAAAAGTTACAGAGACAAAAGGGTTGATTTGTTTGGCGAAGATTATTGACAAGGAAGCAGGGGAATTGCAGCTCAATTGCTTGATGACTGTGATGGAAATAGCCGCAGTGGCTGAGTCCAATACCGACCTTAGAAGAGCGGCTTTTAAGCTCAACTCTCCGGCTGCAAAGGCGGTTCTGGATCAGCTTTTGAGAGTGATTCAGGAAGAGGCTAATCTGGAATTGCAAATTCCTGCCATTAAAGCAATTGGGTCATTGGCAAGAACTTTCCCTGCTAGGGAGACCCGGATAGTTGGTCCTCTGGTTGCTCGGCTTGGCAGTGTGGATGTGGATGTGGCAATCGAGGCTGCCATTGCATTAGGGAAGTTTGTGTGCATGGATAATTTCAATTGTGTGGAGCATTCCAAGACGATTATTGAGTTTGATGGCATTCCTTCTCTGATGAGATTGCTACGGACAACTGATCGAACTAATGAACGGGGTCATGTCAATTGCTTAGTACTACTATGCTACCTAGCATTGCATGTCGGCAACAGCAAGGCTCTTGAACAAGCGCGGGCATTGAATACTCTTGAGGGGGGAGCTCGTTCTGTTGTAGCTCAATATCCCGACTTGAGGGAATTGTTAGCCAAAGCTATACACAATCTCACTCTTTATCAGGCTGGAGCTCATCCCCACAGGCAAACCTTCATGCCGTAAGTGCTTGCAGTTTCTGTCATGTGAGTTTCCTGTATTTGTAACATAGATAGACAAATTGACTTATCGCCACCAAAACAAATCGAAAATTGAATGGTGCACGAAATAGTTATTTTGTATTATAGATGTGTGATCACCCAAGAACTGTGTCAGCTGTTGTATTTGACTAGATGAGTGGATGTTTAGGCATGTATCGGCAATCTGTTCCATGTAATTTGAAGGTATAGGTATCTTCTTGTTTCGATAAAGCATCAAACTTTTGCTTCTTCCCGTCTTCTAAACGTGCCTATGCAATGTTCATTCAGTAACATGATTTTCTTTAGCAGACTGCTACTTGTAATCAGGTTCTGGTTTTCTACAAGATTGGAATGCTGCTTGTAGTCATAACTCTTGGCGATACAAATGGTTTCGCTCTCGTATGATGATGGGACCGCTTGAATCTGCCTCCTGGACAGGATCATTAACAATTTTCTTGAGGGCAATAACGTTCTTCATCAACTACTTAATACGTTAACACGACTAAACTACCCTAGTATTTCTACTACCTTGAGTTCTGATGTGGGTGTTTGGCAACCTTTTGTTGTTCAATTGCAGGGAGGAAGAGAAATACAGCTTCATCACCTCTCTGCAAGTAGAGGGATCCCTTCCATGAACGTAATTGAATGAAAGACCTAAATGGTTAATGTTTGCTGAAACCAGTAACTCCTAATCCAAAAGGAGCAAGAGCTTAATATAATCCAACATTGACCCCAAAAAAAATCCAAAAAAAATAAAATAAAACGGGAACATTGTTTTTTTTTAACAAACGATATTATTTATACTAAAGGGGTGGGGTCAGCTTGTGTGCCAGCATTCTTTTCCTAATTCTTCTAATCTTCAAGAAGGTGCTAAAATTTGTGATATTGTTAATGAAGACGGAATGACTTTAGTTCTTTCACTACGAAAGTATGCCGGTCACTTCAGTCATGAGTATTTTCGCTGCGCTGAGGCAGATGACAAGACCGCCATCAAGGCCTTCACAGCAGGCCTACGTGATTGTTTCTTCAAGTACATGATCAATGCCAACACTTGGAAGACTTACTCTGAGGTGATGGCATAGGCTTACAACCACGCCTCTGTCAAAGTAAGGACATACCAAGGGAACCCCCATATGGTTAAACCCTATCAACAAATGGGAAGTGGAAGTCAAGTTCTACCAAGTGAGAAGATATTGGCCATTCAGACACCCATTGCATCATCTTCTGCCTCATTTAGCTACTCGCTAAGTCATCAAACGTATCTGTCTCTTGGTAAGAGGAAAGATTTTTAATCTCAGCAAGCCCATTACAACAAGAGGGATAAAAGTTCGTATCAAGACAACCAGGGGTGAACGTACCTTCGACTATTATGACTATGAGGCCAAGCGTCACTCTTTCAAAGTCGAGGACTAGGTACTGAAGGAAATGCTATTATAAGAAGGCATACACATTACAAATGTTTTGACTCTCAACCGCTTGAGACCTTTTGTCACATAAGCCATTCGGCAAATATTTAAAGAAGAGGGAATTCAGACAACTTCTTCTGAGTCTTTTGCGTTCCTAGCACTGGAACACTTGGTCTACGCTGACCTACCCTTATACTCCAACTCAGAGCTTCAACATGCGTACTTTGACACAAAGTATGTGATACTAAGTGTTACAACCAACATGGTTCACATATCAAAAGCATGGATCCCTTCATGCATAGCAAAACATTCATAAGCATCACTCATATCAATCAACATAAACATTATACATTCCAACACATTCATAAATAAACATCATACATTCCAACACATCCATACATAAGCCAACTGTGCTTCGAAAGGATTCAACATACTTTGTGTCTTCAACAATTGCTACAATGTGCCTCGACACCTTGCCTTTATTCTCACCAACCAAGTGATGAAATGTGAAGAAGGAACTCATCTTCATGCCACCAACCAGGTGATGAAATGTACAACTCGTACTTTCCTTCATGCCACTAACCATGTGATGAGATGTACAACCCGTACTCTAATATCATTTGGCAACTTGCCACTCATGCCACCAATTAGGTGAAGAAGGAACCCATCTTCATGCCACAAACTAGGTGATGAAATGTACAACCCGTACTCTCCTTCATGCCACCAACCAGGTGATGAAATGTACAACCCGTACTCTAATATCATTTGGCAACTTGCCACTCATGCCACTAACAAGGTGAAGAAGAAACCCATCTTCATGCCACAAACTAGGTGATGAAATGTACAACCCGTACTTTCCTTCATGCCACCAACCAGGTGATGAAATGTACAACCAGTACTCTAATATCATTTGGCAACTTGCCACTCATGTCACCAACCAGGTGAAGAATGAACTCATCTTCATGCCACCAGCTAGGTGATGAAATATACAACCCGTACTCTCCTTCATGCCACCAACCAGGTGATGAAATGTACCACCCGTACTCTAATATCATTTGGCAACTTGCCATTCATGCCACCAACCAGGTGAAGAAGGAACTCATCCTCGTGCCACCAACCATGTGATGAAATGTGATGAAAGGTGATGAAGGAACTCACCTTCGTACCACCAACCAAGTGATGAAAGCAACTCACCATTCATTCCA